AGCGCCCTGTCCCAGTTGCCCTTCCCCATTGAAACTCACATCAGGCTCAGAGACAAGGAGGTTGACGAAGCGGGTCATAGCAGCCACGGAGTCCAGCAGCCCCTCATCAAAGTTGATGTCGATGATCTGCGCGCCCGCCTCCACTTGAGCAATTGCGATGCTGAGCGCCTTGTCCCAGTTGCCAGCCATCACCGCCTTCTTGAAGATGCTTGACCCCGCCACGTTGCACCGCTCGCCGATGTTTATGAAGGGGATGGTTTCGGGCGTGTAGTTGAAAGGCTCAAGCCCGCTCACGCGCAGCAGGTTGCGCACCACGGGACGGGGGCGGGGACGAACGCCCTCCACCTGCCAAGGTTGGGGGTTGAGGGTTGAGGGTTGAGGGTTGAGGGTTGAGGGATGCAAGCATGGGTTGAGAAGGGTGTGGTTGAACGGCTCCAGCCCGCTCACGCGCAGCAGGTTGCGCACCACGGGACGGGGGCGGGGACGAACGCCCTCCACCTGCCAAGGTTGGGGGTTGAGGGTTGAGGGTTGAGGGTTGAGGGTTGAGGGTTGAGGGATGCAAGCATGGGTTGAGAAGGGTGTGGTTGAACGGCTCCAGCCCGCTCACGCGCAGCAGGTTGCGCACCACGGGACGGGGGCGGGGACGAACGCCCTCCACCTGAAAGTGATCCAGGGTCGAGGGTTGAGGGTTGAGGGTTTTGGGGAATAAGAGGATCAAGATAGTTGAGAGGGATGAGAGGGTTGAGCAGTGGCAATGATCCGCAACACTCACACTCCCCAAAACACCAACGTATCCTCCCAACACTCACAACCCCCCCGTAGCACCCGCAATGCCCGAGACAGCGCGGATGTGGTCGGGCGTGGTAGTGCCGTGCCACAGCAGCCGCCCAGCACATTCACCAGCCTGCCCGTGGGGAAGACTCTCACGTTCCCCCGTGAGGAGTCTATTTTTGAGGCGCCTCAAAAATAGACTCCTCCTGCCCGTGGCGAAGACTCTCACGTTCCCCCCAGCCCTTGCAAGTTTCTTTCCACAGAGTGACCCCTCCCATTCCCCACTCCCCAAGACTCACAATGCTAGAGACGGCGCGGATGTGGTCAGGCGTGGTGCCGCAGCAGCCGCCCAGCGCGTTCAGTTCACCATCCCGCGCGTAGCCAAGTCCCCTCACGTTCTCTCCCCCACCACACTCACAACCCCCCCAGTGCACCCCTTACAACCCAGCCCCTTTCGCGGCCCCCACACATCCCAGCACTCACAAACCCACTACAGGGCCCCACACAACCCAGCACTCACAATGCCAGAGACGGCGCGGATGTGGTCAGGCGTGGTGCAGCAGCAGCCGCCCAGCACGTTGACGAGCCTGTCCGTGGCGAAGTCCCGCACGTTCTCAACCCCAGCCCTTACATTTTTCCCCAGAATGACCACCCCCTCCTCCCCCACCCCCCCAACCCCCAGTCCCCAAGACTCACAATCCCAGAGACGGCACGAATATGGTCGGGCGTGGTGCCGCAGCAGCCGCCCAGCACGTTCACCAGCCCGCCCGTGGCGAAGTCCCGCACGTTCTCCGCGAACTGCTGTGGCGTCTCGTCGTACCCGCCGAACGTGTTGGGCAGCCCCGCGTTCGGGTAGCAAATCACGAACGAATCCGTGAGCTGGGGGAGAAAGGAGGGCGGGGGGGTGGGGGGGGGGATGGGGGATCGATACAGTATGCGCGTTACTATGTCTCGTCGTACCCGCCAAAGGTGTTGGGCAGCCCCGCGTTCGGGTAGCAGATCACGAACGAACCCGTGAGCTGGGGTGGGGGGAGGGGAGGTGTGGGGGGAGGGGAGGTGGAGAAGGCGGCGAGGAGTGGAGGGGTGAGGGACGTTGGGACGGGTAGGGGGAGGGAGAAAGGATGGGGGAACGCTAGTGGATGTGTCCGTACCCTGTACTTATGTATGCGGATAGGGCTGCCAAAGACAAGGCTCGTACCTTGTTGATGGTGTCCACGTATGGACGCATGCCCCTCGCCCCCAGCGCGCAGTTGAGCTCCAACAGGAAGATGAGGACGGGGGAAGGCGCGGGAGAGGGGGGGAGAAGTGGGGAGGAAGTGGGGGGTTGGGGTGGACTACGGCCATGGCTCGTACCTTGTTGATGGTGTCCACGTATGGACGCATGTCCCTCGCCCCCAGCGCGCAGTTGAGCCCGATCGCCATGGCGCGCGCGTGCGACACGCTGACCAGAAACGCCTCGCCCGTCTGCCCACTCAGCGTCCGCCCGCTGTTATCCACGATCGTACCGCTGATCATCACCGGCACATCGTACCCAACCTCTTCAAACACCTGGTCAACCGCGTACAGCGCCGCCTTGGCGTTGAGCGTGTCGAAGATCGTCTCCACGAGGAGAATATCCGCTCCCCCCTCCAGCAGCGCATGCACCTGCATCTTGTACGCGTCCACGATCTCATCAAACGTGCATGCGCGGAACGCGGGATTCTCGACACTGGGGGAAACCGACAGCGTCTTGTTCGTCGGGCCGACGGCGCCCGCGACGAAACGCGGCCGCGTGGGGTCCTTCTGCATCGACTTGGCCGTCGCGCGGAGCGCAACCTTCACCGCCTCGATATTAATTAGCACCACCTCTTCCTCCGCCTGGAGCTCGTAATCCGCCTGGGAGATACACGTCCCGTTGAACGTGTTCGTCTCAATGATATCCGACCCCGCGTCCAGGTACTCCGAATGAATCCCTTCGATCACATCGGGGCGCGTTATAACGAGGATATCATTATTCCCCTTGAGGTCGTTAGAGTGGGTCTTCCAGCGCTCGCCGCGGAAGTCCTCCTCGCGGAGCTTGTGACGTTGGATCATGGTGCCCATGGCGCCGTCCAGCAGCAGAATCCGCTGCCGCATCATCGCCTCCAGGGACTCGAACAGGTCGCGCCGCACCATGGCCACGTTCTTCGTGCCGTCCGCGTTAGTGGGAGACTCGGGATCGATACGTGACGCGCCGTCCACGATGAAGCTGAGGAAAGGGGGATGGGTGTGCGGGAAGGGAGAAAGAGTGGGATGGGAGAAAGAGCGGTAAGCGGAAGTGACAAGGGTATGGGGTAGCTTCCTAGCATGTTGCACAATCTTGATTTTCTAAGGCACACGCGACGTCCGCTACTCCGTAAATCTTGATTTTCTCAGGTTCACTCAACGCCCACTTTCCGTAAATCCAGATCGGCTAGATAATTTATGAACGAACCTGTATTCGATCGGTCCCTGGGGACACGTGTAGTCGATGTAGAACTGGCCGGGACTAGCAGCGGACGGCTTCATGGGGACGGGCACGCCGCCGGAGAAATCCCCCACCACCTCCACCGCGGACCCGCCATACGGCCAGATAAACTGCGTTATCCCCAGCTCTGCACGCACGGGGGTCAGCCGAGAGGAACGGAAGGCAATTCAATTTCAGTTCCATGTCAATTCACTGTCAATGTCCGACTGGGATCGACTGTGTGTAAACGTGCAGGCAAGCAGATGATTCCCAGCTCTGCACGCACAGGGATCAACCGGGAGGAACGGAAGGCAACTCAATGTCAATGACAGACTGGGATCGACCGCGTGCGCACGTGCAGGCAAATACAGCGACAAGCGAAATATGGTTTCTAGGCTCGTTCCGATCTCACAAGCGACGATGTCTCGTGCATGCCAGGACGGACGGAAAGGCCTCGCGACGACTTACTGTCTTCTGCCTTGGGAGGAGGACGGCGAGCAGATGCCAGCGGGATGACCCCTGAATCAGTAAAAACAGGACGCAACGGAAAAGGGTTTCTGACTCAACATGAGTACAATTCACGGAATGTCAATACAGTTTTCACGGAAACGAACCAGAGGCTTTGTGCCTGCTTAACTAGTAGAACGACGGATCAGATGTTTGGTGAATTCAACTCGCTTTAGTGCAGTTTGCGTAAGATCGGCCTTACCAGATGCAGCAGCCTTGGCTGCCGAAGGCGCAACGGCAGCAGCAGCAACGGGTTTCTCCGCCTTAGGCTCTTCCTTCTTAATTTGTGCGGAAACCGACGGCTCGTCCGCCTCAGCCGGTGCAGCCACGCGCTTCTCAGGCGTGGCTGCAGTGGACACCGTCGACGACTCGTCGCTCTTCCGCTTCGAGAAAAAGGCGAAAAGAGCTCCGAAAAGGGCGGCGATCAGGATGACTATCGCGGAGTGCGCGATCGTACGCCAGGCTACCGCTACGGCGAGGATAAGCACCGGCGCTACAGACTGACGCGCTAAGCGACCGAAGTCCATGGCTGAAGACTGCTACTCGACCCAGAAGGGTCACGACTGGGAAAAATCGGAAAGCAGCCAGTCTAGAAACCAAGCAGCGAGATTTCGCTCACTGACAAGGCACGACACAGAAAGCCTCCAGACAAAGACCAGATGGGAAGGAGGAGTAGGGATCAGGGAGTAGCCGACGGAATTACTCTCCTATATCAGGCTAGTAGAGTGAGGCAGTGAGCAGAAGCAAGGGAAGAGAGAGGATAACTGGGAGAGGATATGAGATCAGTTGAGTGGAGGGTGTTCTCGAGGGAAGCAGGGCGATGGGCGAAAAGGACTACATTCGCTAAGATTTGACGAAATTCGCCCGATCCCAAATCTTGAAGCTTCGAGACTGCCGCGAGCTTGACGAATTTTTCGCGACGGTCGCCTGTCCCCCAAATCTTGAAGCAGAGAGACAGCCGCGAGTGTCAAGGAGTGTGAGTTTTCCCGCACTCTGAGGGGTGAAGGAGAAAGCAACACGTGGCGATAGGCTTTTGACGATGTGTCAGAGGTCACTGGGACTGGCGTCCCCGATCCCTCCTGTCCTGCGACATGCTGACGCGACTCGTTATGAAATATTCTGCATAAACCATGCTCGTGTAGCAATTTACATACAAATCGGTACTTCCATTCATACACAAATTTGGGTGTGACCATCCATTGAGCCGTAGCTGTAATTTATGAGCGCTGAAAGCAGAAATAAGAGACATAGCAATCCGCATTGCTGTCTTTGCAAGCAGAGAACTATTCTGGTCCTAGCCTTCTCGCCCCTAACTTCCCACCTGTCGACCGTGAAACGCGGTGGTCTTCGCCGCAGCCATGGCGTCGCTCGTTTCCTCCGCGGTGTTCCCGTCCGCCGTCGCCGCGCCTGTCCTGCCGGCGCGCCGGAGAATTGGGGCGAATGGCGCCGGTTCAGCCGCGTTCCTTAGGTCGCCAGTATCGAGTCCCCTCAGCAATGCGTTTCAGGTCCGTATTTTCCAATGGGCCATAGTGGTTGAAAACTGCTCTCCCTAGAGTTTACAGCCTTGTAGCTTGTTGAATGGTCTCCGGGCGAATGGCGCCAGCTGCGCACCGTCTCATTTGTTTCTCCCGTCGTTTTCATCCGCCGCCCGTCCCTCCGCCGTTTCCGCTCCCACGTTAGGTCTCTCGATTCCGCACTCCTGCCTCTCGTTTTCCCGAACTACCTCCCCATTTCCGATTCGATTTCCAGGGTACGCCCGTGAATCGCGCTACCATTCACGCGAACAAGCAGCAGGCGGTGCGAGCAGCGGGGAGCGCGGCGGTGATGGCGGCAGCGTCCAAGGGAACGAGTAAAGGCACGGTGGTGGTCGAACCGGACCCTCGCATCCCCATCGTGCTGCTGGGTACGCGTAGTGAACTCCATTTGACATCACGTCATATGATGTTTCTATATGTCATCTTCACTGTAGCCTATTGTACAGTCTCGGTGGTGGTTGAACCGGACACTCGCATTCCGACCCTTCTCCTTGGTACATGCCACAACCCTTGTGTCATGTCATGTCTCGTACCCCGTTCCCTAGTTTTGAGGCGCCTCAAAACTAAACCGTTCCCTCCTCCCCCTTCCGATTTCTGCTTCCCCTCCCTTACCCCCTCCCCCCCCCCCCCCCCCCCCGCCCCCTCTCCTTTCCTCCCCTCTTTTCACCCCCTTGCCCCTCTCAGAGCTCCCCCCATTGTGTCTCTTCTCTTGTTAACACCCCCCATTTCCCCCTCCTCCATTCTCCCCGCCTTCCTCCCTTCCCCCCCTTCCCCCCCTCTCCTCCCCCCGGGCCATCAGATGCATCACGTGCTCTCTTCCTCCCTTCCCCCCCTTTCCCCTCTCCTCCCCCGGGCCATCAGATGCATCACGTGCTCTCTTCCTCCCTTCCCCCCTTTCCCCTCTCCTCCCCCGGGCCATCAGATGCATCACGTGCTCTCTTCCTCCCTTCCCCCCTTTCCCCTCTCCTCCCCCGGGCCATCAGATGCATCACGTGCTCTCTTCCTCCCTTCCCCCCCTTTCCCCTCTCCTCCCCCGGGCCATCAGATGCATCACGTGCTCTCTTCCTCCCTTCCCCCCCTTTCCCCTCTCCTCCCCCGGGCCATCAGATGCATCACGTGCTCTCTTCCTCCCTTCCCCCCCTTTCCCCTCTCCTCCCCCGGGCCATCAGATGCATCACGTGCTCTCTTCCTCCCTTCCCCCCCTTTCCCCTCTCCTCCCCCGGGCCATCAGATGCATCACGTGCTCTCTTCCTCCCTTCCCCCCCTTTCCCCTCTCCTCCCCCGGGCCATCAGATGCATCACGTGCTCTCTTCCTCCCTTCCCCCCTTTCCCCTCTCCTCCCCCGGGCCATCAGATGCATCACGTGCTCTCTTCCTCCCTTCCCCCCCTTTCCCCTCTCCTCCCCCGGGCCATCAGATGCATCACGTGCTCTCTTCCTCCCTTCCCCCCCTTTCCCCTCTCCTCCCCCGGGCCATCAGGTGCATCCCGTTCTTGTTGCCCCCACTCAGGGGACAACTTACCCCCCCACGAACCCCTTACCCCCCCACTCAGGACAACTTACCCCCCCACGAACCCCTTACCCCCCCACCCCCCACTTTCCCGCTCCTCCTTTCTCCCCCCCCAACCCCCCTCTCTCCTCCCCCGGGCCATCACGTGCATCCCGTGCTCTCTTCCTCGCGGACAACAAGCACGCAGCCGCCCCCATCCACATGCCGAGGCGCCGCTCCCAAACCCCTCCCTCCCCATCCCCCTTCCCCCCTGGTTCCCCCTCCCCCTCCCCCCCCCCCCTCATTCCTCCTCCCCTCTCCTCCCCTCTCCTCACTCCTCTCTCTCCCCTCTTCAATCAGGTGTATCCGGACCGGAGCTCTCTTCGCTGCAGACAACAAGCTCGCAGCTGCTCCCATCAGCTGTTGAAGCGTTTCAACCTCACCCCCCCCCCCTTCCCACCCCCCCCCCTTCTCCCCCCCCACCCCCTTTACCCCCTCCCCCCGTTTCCCCCTCTTCAATCAGGTGTATCCGGAGCTCTCTTCGCTGTGGACAACAAACTCGCCGCTGCTCCCATCGGCCTGCTCGGTGCTCTCCTCGCCTTTCAGGTGCTGTGCCTCTGCTTCAGGTGGTCGTCAGGTGCTTTCAGGTGCTGTGCCTCTGCTTCAGGTGGTCGTCATGTGCTTTCAGGTGCTGTGCCTCTGCTTCAGGTGGTCTTCAGGTGCTTTCAGGTGCTGTGCCTCTGCTTCAGGTGGTCTTCAGGTGCTTTCAGGTGCTGTGCCTCTGCTTCAGGTGGTCTTCAGGTGCTTTCAGGTGGTCGTTTGCTCTGCGTCTCTTTCCGGTGCTTTCAGCATCTTTCTTTCCGAGATGACACGTGAAGCCGGCTTGGGAATTCACTATTCCGCTGCGCGCTCCACCCCATGCTTTCCGTAATACCACATGCGTGCGCTTCATCTTTACTGCGGAGGCACCGGAGGTGCGGATTGGCATGTGGACCCAGCTTGGGATTGGCGTTTCCGTCCATATTTGTCCATATTTGTCCATATTTTTCCTCTTCGCTGCAGCCCACCCTTACGCTTAATGGCTACAAGTCCATATTTGCACCCCACGGGTCCATAAGGGACCTAGTTCAAACCAATGAAAGTTTGTCCTTTGTCCCTTATGGTTTGAACTAGGTCCCTTATGGAAAAATGACTTTTGAGTAGACTCAAAAGTCATTCCCTTATGGACCCGTGGGTTACAAATATGGACCCATATTTGGTTGCATCCTTTCATACAGACCACACGGATGTGTTTTGTTTTTGAGAATCCTCAAAAACCACACGGGCACGCTTTTAGGTCATGGAGGACAACGCGGGTGCGCGTGTGGTCCTCCGCACTGTCCAGTGCGCGTTGTGTGTGGTGTGCGCACGGGAGGTGCGGATCGGGCAGCAGCTGGGGTTGTCGTTCAAGCTGGTCCTCACTCTGCCTTTTGTGCTGCGTGCAGCTGGGGTGTGCCTTTCAAGCTACTCTCTGCACACCCCTCGCCCTCTCCTTCAGACCTGGGGTGCGCTTTGTGTTCACGGAGGAGGCGCTGGAAGTGCAAATCCGGCAGCAGCTGGAGTTGTCGTTCAAGCACTACTCTCTGCACTACTCTCTGCACTACTCTCTGCACTATTCTCTGCACACCCCTCGCCCTCTCATCCAGACCACGCGGGTGCGCTTTGTGTTCATGGAGGAGGAGGACGCACTGGAGGTGCGGATGGATGGGGCAGCATGTCATGTTGCTTGCCGGCTTGTCTTCCAATGTGCCCCCCTCTGCGCTCCCCTCTGCGCGCCCCTCTGCGCTCCCCTCTGCGCGCCCCTCTGCGCTCCCCTCTGCGCTCCCCTCTGCGCTCCCCTGCTGACCCCATGCATCCCTGCCAGACCACGCGCGTGCGCTTTGTATTCACAGAGGAGGCGCTGGAGGTGCGGATCGGGCAGCAGCTGGAGTCGTCTGGGGAGAACGTGTTTGTGGGCGGCGAGAACAAGTGGAAGTGAGTTGACGTGAAACCCCATGCACGGAAACTTGATCTGTGAAAGCCGGGCTGTGGAAGCCGGGCTGTGGAAGCCCGGCTGTGGAAGCCGGGCTGTGGAAGCCGGGCTGTGGAAGCCGGGCTGTGGAAGCCGGGCTGTGCAAGCCGGGCTGTGCAAGCCACGCTGTGGAAGCCGGGCTGTGAAAGCCGGGCTGTGGAAGCCGGGCTGTGCAACCGGGCTGTGGAAGCCGGGCTGTGCAAGCCGGGCTGTGGAAGCCGGGCTGTGAACCTTTCCGTTTTTCTTCCTTCGTGGTCTCCTCATCACATGCTGCTTGTTTCATCATCACATGCTGCTTGTTTCCTGTGGTGTCTTTCTTGTGTTTAATCTGTGTGTATACTCTGTGCTTACTCCTCCCCCCTTCACCCCAGGTACGACACCTTTGTCAACTGGGAGTTCTGGTGGCCGGCCTTCCCTGTGCTCGTCTATTTCAAGGAGACCCAGACTCGCCCCGAGGGGCAGGTCCACTTCTTCCCCATCATTGCCGTAAGGATGGATTGTTGCAATGTGTATGTGTATTTCAAGGAGACCGAGACCTACTCCGAGGAGCTGAGTGTGGTAACTCCACTTCTTCCCCATCTTTGTGGTAAGTCATTGTCTTGGAGGCATACAGTGTACATGTGTGTACAGAAACCGGTGGGTATCCCACCGATGGGTATCCCACCGACGGGTATCCCACCGATGGGTTTCCCTCCGATGGGTATCCCTCCGACGGGTATCCTGCCGACAGGTATCCTGCCGATGGGTATCCCACCGATGGGTATCCTATTGATGTATCTGGAGCATGTTTGAGCATCGTCACTCAACCCGTCCTTTCTCTGCTGATCCCCCCATGCTCTCTCTCTTCACTACAATCACATTTAGCATGGCAAGCAGCTGTGCGATGTGATGGTTGACCGATGCAGTTCCTCCAAGGAAATATGCACACGCGTACCATCATCTCTCCACCTCCAAGGAAATACGCATCGGAAGCCGGGCATCGGAGAGGTGATGGTATGTGGTACGCACACGCGTACCATCATCTCTCCCCCTTCTCTCTCTCCCCCCTTCCCCTCCCCCCCCCCCCCCCCCCCCCCGGGTTTCACCACTGCAGAACGGCAAGCAGCTGTACGATGTGACAGTGGGGCGATGCAGCCCCTCCAAAGGCACGCCCCCAGACACACCCCATCAATCATCCCCTTCCTCCCCACCCCCCGTCTCCCTCCCTCCCCTCCCCCCTCCCCGCCTTGCGCCACTGCAGAACGGCAAGCAGCTGTACGATGTGATGGTGGAGCGATGCGGTCCCTCCAAAGGCAGTGGGCCGTCTGCTTGACACCTGACTACCACATGTGGTCTATTTGTCTACACTCGTACAAGTGGCCCTTATGATTATTATTTCACTAGTGATGATGCCAAAGTTTGCTGATTAAACCCATTAATGCATTATGGCTAACATGCAACTGTTAAGTTGCACGTAATTCACATGAAGCTGTAATTGGTGAAGGGTGGACATTGTGAGTTACAGTAATCCCCTACTGCAAGTAACTTAATAAACTTAATAACCTTGTTGAAAGTACATCAAAAGACTTAAGCGTTTCTGAAGTGTAACACTACACTCGAGGAAGATTGCAAGGGGTACGCGAGTCAACGGAGGTTACACGAGGGGGCGGACAAAGAACACGAAGGGTTTGGGACTCAAAGGGTCGCAACTGGAGGTTGCGACTGACCGTTACAACAGCACGGATGGTAACCGAAGCGACAATCGAGTCGCTGTACAACTCGATAAACCGCTACTGCAACTGTACTCTACAACTGTTTCTTATCTTCTATATATTGCTGTATGTTTGCCTTTTTCTTAATCACTTGTTCTCACATACTAGTACAAGGGTTCAACTGCCTCAACTTCCGCTGCACTACTCAAGTCTCATTCTACAACTGGGACTTAGTCTCTGGAAAGATCCTAAGGGCTTTTCTCAGCCCAACATGGTATGAGAGCTGGTCAGAGACCAAACTCCCAGCAACTACGTTCAATCACCAACCTGCAACTCAACTCAATTCAACGACTTCATTGATTGCAAGACATGGACAGCAAGGGCAAGAAAGTCTCTACGGGCTCACCCAGCGGCCAAGAAACTCAACACGGCAACTCTGGTCTGCACACCTCAGGACTGCAGACAAAGACCGGGACTGCTCAAGAAACAACGGGAAGAGTACCAGAGATGGTTACTCCATCTCCCTCTTCAAGCGTGGACCCCAACCTTATGGAAAGGTTCTTCAGCTTCATGTCGCACTTCGACCAGCAGCAGCAGACAAGAACACCTGCGCATTCAACACAGAGCAATGGAGGAAACATGGGATTAGCGCCGATGAGCCTCGACAACTCATCCTTCGGGCGACACAACCAAGCGCCCACCTTTGCGCCGTATCATTCTTCACCGGGGACGTTCGAGTTCATGCCGCCCCGCGCCCAACCAACAGCAGCTGCATCACAACAAACACCAAACGAGATTCTCAGTCTTCAGGCTCAATTCTCACACGTTATTAAGTTACAAACATCCTCACCGTTCAACGGACACGACTTCTTTACCTGGAGCTTCGAGTTCGAGCTGCTGATGGAGGCCGCGCATCTTCTGGGATACTTCAACGGGTCCCTGCCATTTCCAAGCAACGGCACTGGAAAGGAGCAAGAGATCTTCACGTATCAGTCGCTGCTGGCGTATACAGTCCTCCTGCGGAACCTGTCACCACAAGAACAGCAGAGCATCAGAACATATCGGAGTTATGGGAACTCCGCGGAACTCGCATGGCATCATCTCAAGTGCCTTTATCAAGCAAACGACAGCGTGACACAAAGCAGACTCATGCAACAACTGACAACAATACAGATGAAGACCGGGGAAAAGGCAATGCAATATATGAGTCGATGCCAGACTCTCCGCGACCGCCTGCTTCGGTGCGGAGGAACAATCACTGAAGAAAGCTTCGTGACACTTGTCCTCGCCGGGCTCGGACCAGAATGGAGAACCACACGATCACTTCTTCGCGCCCACGGAAGAATTTCGGAGATGCACCTCTGTGCCGAGCTTCACGCTGAACAACAGGAGATGGACCTGTTCGAAGAAAGGCAACCAAGGAAGCAGCAGCAGTTAGTCTTCTACACTCAACGAAGAAACGACAACACCTACAATCGACGCAGCAAGCAAGAGCGCGACAACAGAGGGACTACCTTTGTGCCGCCGTTCTGCCACAACTGTCAGACTTCCGGGCACTCCAAGGTCAACTGCAACCGCCCTCGCGTTTACCGTCCAGCAGACCCACAAGTTGCTTCAACCCAAGCAAGTCCCCCAAGGCGCTCTTCAACATCTGCACAACAGACACCAAACATTATCAATTGCATGGTACACATCGACAACTGTGCACCCGGCTCACCACCCACTTACGCGCCAGACGAAGAAGAGCTCCCGCCACCACGCTCACAAGGACTTCAAGTCAATCCGACGTACGCTGCGGTCGCCAACGCCGAACCAACCGGACGAAACACATGGTTCCTGGACAGCTGCTGCGGTCAACACATGTGCTCCTCGGGACGCTTCGTGCAACAGGAGAAACGGCTCAACCGCGACGTCGTCATCACCGTCGCCAACAACGAAAACCTGAAGACAAACAGACAAGGCGTGGTTCAGTTACAATCCATGGAGACAAACGTAATACTTCAGCTCAACAAAGTACTCATCGTGGACAACTTGGGATACAACCTACTAAGCGTAAGCCAACTAATGGCCAAGGGGATTCACCTGGAGTGCGACTCCTTCTCCAACGAGTTCCGGCTTTACCACGGGAAGGGCGGCCTCTTCATAGGTCGTGCCCTCCTGAAGTCCGGTGTCTTCGTGTTGGACTTTGTCCCCGACCGCGGTACTGCCGACAGCGACGGTATCGTATCGTTCGCCGCCTGGACACACCCGCCGGATCTTGATCCCGACTTCGACAGTGACGGCTTCTGGCACTCCAACACCATACCTGCAGCAGAAAGAACACGAGCATTAGCAGTTATCAGACAAGAACGGCAAGTACCAACAAGCGTCCAGTCCCAACCATCACCTGCAGTAGCAGCAGCAGGACCAAGCCGAGTACCACCACCGGCAGTCCGAGGACCGCCAACCGAAGCAGATCAACTTATGCCCATCACACGAGAAGTCTGTCGAAGTCCCGCCACAGTCGTCGCATTCTTCTCCAACGCCGACATATACCACCGCTCACCCGGCCATCGCGCTCCCGACGACATCTGGCAGCAACGCCTCGGGCACCCTGCAAATAGTACAATACTACAAACCATCCAAGCCGAAGTGTTAGAACACAACGCCCTCCTAACAACGAACGGCCAAGAACTTCGATGACCTCGCGCACGGTGCTTCACGTGCCCCGAAGCAGATCTTCCTCATCAACCCTTCCCATCACATTATAATCCAAGCGCGCCTGCATATGCAACGATGGAAAAAGTCTACAGCGACATCTTGAACATGCCTCGAGACGACACGGAAGCCGACTTCAACTACGTCATCACCTTCGTCGATGCAGCAACAAGATACACTTGGCATTACAACCTCAAGACGCGCGATCAAGCCTTCGACGCCTTCACAACATGGCTCCCCATCGCCGAACGGGAATCAGGAACCAAGCTAAAAAGTTTCCAGTCAGACGGCGCACTGGAATACCAGTCACAAGGCTTCATGACCTATCTGGCGGAAAGAGGAATCAGGCGCCTGGTGTCCCTACCATACGCTCACCAGCAGCAGGGGGTCGCAGAACGCATGAACCGGACCTTGCAGACGACAATGCGAAAGCTGCTCCTGGGAATGAAACTGCCCAACACACTGTGGCCAGACGCGATGACACATGCAGTCCACCTGCACAACCTGTTGTCCTCGTCATCGCTCCCCAACAACGCATCACCACACCTGCTGTGGACGGGAAAAAGGGGCAGCACAAAATTACTTCGAGTTTTCGGCTGCATGGTACAATACAGACCCCACACAGCTCGAGCAGGACGCTTCACTCAACGAGCTCGGTGGGGACTACACCTCGGCATCGCCAAACAATTTCACGCGTGGAAGATTCTCGACATACAAGACAAAAATACGGTGGCATCACGTGATGTTATCTTCTACGAGCGACTGACGCTGCAGCATTACCTGGACAACATTGCCAACTCAGACGACCCCACCGACGGCTTCGCGGGCCTTCGCTCCTTCGCTGACCATGCTGCCGAGGCTGACGCAGCAGAAGAAGACGTCCCTGGAGCCTCGGAGGCTGCCGGACCACTCCCCTACTGCTCCGTACCTGTTCCACTCGATGAAGATAATCCCCTCGATAGCAACAACCTCGACACCTTTTACCACTTCGCTGACCAAGGCTACACTACACCACACCCCGTCGACTCGAATATTTCCGAACGCATCGGGCCAAACTTCTTACCCGATCCTGAAGACGGTGATGAAGCAGCTTATCCCGGGAATGAAAATTCCCCTCGACACACAGCCACGGGACTGCAGATCCTAGGACTATGGGTCTCCGTCCAGCACCCGCCGCCGCCTTCTCCGCGCGAGCCATCGACCCTGTCGCAGGCTCTGGGGGAAGAACATAAGGCGGAATGGAAGGAAGCAATGGAAAAAGAGTTAAAAGCCCTCCAAGACCGGAATACATGGAAGTTAGTACCGACAACCAACACCAACGGGAGGAACATTCTCTCGGGGAAATGGGTGTACCGCATTAAGACCAACGCGGACGGCTCCATCGAACGTTTTAAAGCGCGATGGGTCGTACGAGGCTTCGACCAACGATACGGAACCGACTACACAGAGACCTTCGCCCCAGTCTCCCGTCACACCTCCCTGCGCATCCTACTCGCCGTCGCGGCCACGAAGAAACTACCACTACGGCAAATCGACGTCGCAAACGCCTTCTTGTACGCACCTGTGGACGCCGAAATCTTCGTCGAACAACCCCACGGATTCATCGACGACCCTTCAAAAGTATGCCAGCTGGAAAAATCCCTTTGCAGGATCAAGCAAGCCCCACGGCTCTGGCAGCAGCACCTTCACGGCCGGCTCGTAAAAATCGGATTCCTACAGTTACCACATGACCAAGGCATGTACCGACTGCAGAAGGGAAGAGATTACATTCTGCTCATAGTCTACGTCGACGACCTGCTCTACATCGGTTCTACCACCGACATCGTCACCTGGTTCGAAGGGGAGCTGAAAGGGGACCTAACGCTCACGGTGTCCGACTCAGTGACCCAGTACTTGGGACTAAATGTCGTCGAAGACAACTCGGCGTTCTACCTACACGCTGGAAAGTACGCAGGCACTGTCGCGAAGAAATTCGGACTGACGCCGACTACGGTCCCGACTCCCTACCGCTACGGAAACAACAACAGCGCCTCCGCAAAACTCCCCGCGAAGCAAATCCAGGAGTATCAACAGAAGCTCGGTTGCCTACTATTCGCAGCAGTCACCTGCCGACCCGACCTGTCCTATAGTGCGAGTCAACTAGCGACGCATCTGAAGCAACCGGAACAGGAAGATCTCGAGGAACTCAACCGGGCACTACTCTACTTCGTCTCCACACCGACGATCGGACTTACCTACAGCAAAGCGACAACACCGTCCGTACAACTACTCGGATACGTCGACGCCGACCACGCGGGAGACAGGGAAAATCGACGATCTAGGACGGGCTACATCTACCGACTAGAACCCATCGGAACTATCTCCTGGCAGTCGAGCAAGCAGGAGTTAATCGCACTATCCTCGGCTGAAGCAGAGTACATCGCCCTTTGTACTGCGACCAAGGAAGGACTCTACCTGCGAGAGTTACTCGAGGAAGCGAAGATCACGACCCTGCCCGCCTTCTCACTCTTCTGCGACAACCAATCTGCGATCAAAATCGCAAACAAGGACGGCTTCGCCAACCGAACGAAACACATCGCCCTGCGGTACTTCTTCGTCAAAGATGAAATCGCGAAAGGGAGACTTCAACTCAGTTACTGCCCGACAACAGAAATGGCCGCAGACTATTTGACGAAGAAATTGGCAAAAGCAAAATTCGACTATTGCATGTTGCTGACCGGACAAACAAACGTCATCGGACCTGAACAAGTCAGCACTCCAGAAACGAAGGGGAGTGTTGAAAGTACATCAAAAGACTTAAGCGTTTCTGAAGTGTAACACTACACTCGAGGAAGATTGCAAGGGGTACGCGAGTCAACGGAGGTTACACGAGGGGGCGGACAAAGAACACGAAGGGTTTGGGACTCAAAGGGTCGCAACTGGAGGTTGCGACTGACCGTTACAACAGCACGGATGGTAACCGAAGCGACAATCGAGTCGCTGTACGACTCGATAAACCGCTACTGCAACTGTACTCTACAACTGTTTCTTATCTTCTATATATTGCTGTATGTTTGCCTTTTTATTAATCACTTGTTCTCACATACTAGTACAAGGGTTCAACTGCCTCAACTTCCGCTGCACTACTCAAGTCTCATTCTACAACTGGGACTTAGTCTCTGGAAAGATCCTAAGGGCTTTTCTCAGCCCAACAAACCTAATAGACTGATAACTTAGTACTCGCTACTGCAAGACCTAGCAACCACAGTTGTGGATCTCAGCAAGAGTGATGCAAAGTTGTACTGTGTTCACAACCCCTAAGGTACTCCTACACTTGCCCCTGTGGCTGTGCTGTTGGATTTCCTGGTGCTGCTACTGCTGCTGCTGGACCTGGTGCTGGTGCTGCTGGTGCTGCTGGTGGGAAATCCGTGAGGTTTTGGAGCACGGATAGAGACTGAACAGCATCGGACATGAGAGGCCGTTCCTTGGGATCCTTCTTTAAGCAGTTATATGCCAGCCTGGCAGCTTTCACCACGCCTTTTACCGAGAACTGGTTTGCCAGCCGTTGATCCACGATCTGGACCAGCATCCGACGGTCGGCAAAGAACGGCGCCGACCACTCCACTATGTTTTGCTGCCCGGGCGGAAAGTTTCGCTCGACTGCCCGCCGCCCGGAAATTATCTCCAGGAGGACAACACCAAAGCTGTAGACGTCAGATTTGGCGGTCAGATGCCCTGCGGAGAGGGAGGAGGGGGAGGAGGGGCGGGGAGGGGCTTTACCTGTGAGCATGTACTCGGGCGGAGGGGCTGTACCTGTGAGGATGTACTCAGGCGGAGGGGCTTTACCTGTGAACATGTACTCGGGCGGAGGGGCTGTACCTGTGAGCATGTACTCGGGAGCAGCATAGCTGTACCTGTGAGCATGTACTCGGGAGCAGCATAGCCGTACGTGCCCATGACTCGCGTCGACACGTGGGTGTCGCTGCCCACCGGCCCATCCTTTGCCAACCCGAAGTCCGACAGCTTGGCGTTGAACTCCTGAGAGGGGGAAAGGGGGTAAGACCGGGGGGGAGGGAGGGGGAAGATGGGGGAAATGGGGGGCGGAGATGGGAGGGGGGGGAAGGGGGAAGGGGGCTGGAGGGGGGGGGGGGAGTTGCAGCAAGGAGAAGAGTGGAGGGGATGGGATGGGAGAAGGGGGAGGGGAGGGTGGGGGGGGAGGGGTGGGGAGGGGGAGGGGGGAGGGGGGAGGGGGGAGGGGGGAAGGGGAGGGGGAGTGGGGGGAGAAAGGAGGAAAGGAGGGGAGAAACTGCCGTTGCCCACTGGCCCATCCTTGGCCAGCCCGAAATCAAAGAGTTGGTAGTTGATCTCCTGGAGTTGACCTCCTGGATTTGACATTCAAGAGTTGACATTCTGGAGTTGACCTCCTGGGGTTGACATTCTGGAGTTGACATTCTGGAGTTGGAAACACGCCGAGCAGCAACACACTCACCCGACCCACCAGGATGTTGGATGCCTTGAAGTCGCGGTAAATAACTTGTGCCTCTGTCTCCTCGTGCAGATATGCCAGTGGGGGCCTTGAACCCTCTGGTAGCTTGCAGAGCCACCCTCTAGGTCCCGAAGCCCCATGGCACGACACTCACCCTGTCCACCAGGATGTTGGACGCCTTGAAGTTGCGATAAATGACCTGCGCGTCCGTCTCCTCGTGCTAAAAGAAAATTTTAACTCCTCCATGCAAAACTCGAGCCAGAAGCAGCACTCACCCTGTCGACCAGGATGTTAGACGCCTTGAATTCGCGATGAATAACTTGTGCCTCTGTCTCCTCGTGCAAAGCAGATATGCCAGAAAGGGCCTAGAAGCCCCTAGAAGCAAATCCCCATGGCAACACCTACCCTTCCAGCAGCAAGGAGCACTCACCCTGTCCACCAGGATGTTGGACGCCTTGAAGTCGCGGTAAATAACTTGTGCCTCCGTCTCCTCGTGCAGATACGCCAGGCCTCTCGCTGCATGCAAGGCAACCTTCATGCGGATGTTCCACGGCAGAGGGGTCACGTTGCCTGGTGGGATAGCAGGAAGGGGAGGGGAAGGAGACAGACGGGACAGAAGAGGTAGTGTTGAAAATACGCCAGGCTTCTCGCAGCATGCAGAGCCACCTTCACGCGAATGTTCCAAGGCAGGGGGCATGTCTGCACCCTATACTGACACCTCTCTCAATTCATCCAACACGTTGTGGGTGTCTATACCCCATACACTCACACCGCCATGCCCATACAGTCACATCACCATGCCCACACGGTCACATGCCCACTCACGTCTGAAGAGGTATCTCTCAAGACTGCCGTATTCCATCAGCTCGTACGCCAGCAGCCGGTGCTCGCCCTCCATGCAGTACCCCACCAGCCGCACCAGGTTCGGGTGCCCCAGCGCGCCCAGGTACCGAACCTCCGTCTGAAGTTAGGCAGTGGAGGGGGGGGAGGAGGAGGAAGGGGAGTGGAGGGGCCTAAAAAAAAGTTGGGCAGTGGAGGGGGGGGGGGGGGAGGAGGAAGGGGAGGGGAGGGAAGGGGAGAGGGGAAACAAACACCCAGTCACTTCACCGCCCTCCATGCTGTACCCCACCAGCCACACCAGGCTCGGTTGCCCCAGCGCGCCCAGGTATCTCGCTTGGGTCTGTGGAAACATGAGGCAGGGGCAAGTTGGGAAAGAGGGGGATATTTTTCAGGCGCCTCAAAGATATTTTTGAGGCGCCTTAAAGATATTTTTGAGGCGCCTCAGAAACATGAGGCAGGGACAAGTTGGGAAAGAGGGGGCGAGCACCTTCCCAACTTGCATGGGTGCATGGGTGCATGGGTGCATGGGTGCATGGGTGCATGGGTGCATGGGTGCACCCATGCATCGTTTCACCTTCCCCCATGCAGTGCACCACCGGCCGCACCGGGTTGGTTTTGAGGCGCCTCAAAACAAGCCGCACCGGGTTGGAGAACCCCAGCATAACTTCCATAACCATCCCACCCCACTCTCGCCCCACACTCACCCCACACTCACCCCACACTCACCCCACACTCACCCCACACTCGCCACCCATTCCGCCTCGCCCTGCTACCCCTCCTGATTCACCGCCCTCACAGCAACCTCCTCCGTCCCACATGCACCCTCTCCTAGTCGATCTGTGCATACGTCTACGTATAGTCTATTATTGCGGCGCCTCAAAAGATAGACCCCACCCGCACCTTCTCCTAGTCCATCTGCGCAGTGCAGTGCAGTGCAGTGCAGTGCATGCATTCTAAGCGTAGCAGTTCCATGCCATGCCCATCCCCCCCGTCCCACCCCGCACCCGCACTCACCACCCATTCCGCCTGTAATGAGTCGATTTTTTAGTCGACTCAAAAAAAATTAGTCTGACTCAAAAATCGACCCATCCCCCCGTCCCACTCCGCACCCACACTCACCACCCATTCCGCCTCGCCTTGATACCCCTCCTGGTTCAGCGCCTTCACAGCAACTTCCTCCATCTTCCCCCCTCCCACATGCACCCTTCCCTTGTGCACACTCCCGAATCCGCCCTCCCCCAGCTTGCCCTCCCTGCTGAACCCGTTAGTAGCCTCGAACAACTCGTTATAAGAGAACTGAAGGAGGGTGGCGGCTATCTGCACGCTCCCAGCTGTCGCTCCCTGGCTGCCGTGGCTCTGAGTCAGGCTCGGGCCGACGCTAGAACCGTGGCTGAGGCTTGGGCTGGGGACCTGGCTTGGCTCCTGCTGCGGCAGCGCTTCCTGCTGTGGCTGCTGCGGCTGCTGAGGTGGCGGCTGGTGGTGTGGCGGCTGCTGATATGGCGGGTGCGGATGTGGCGGGTGCTGGTGTGGCAGCTGCAGATTCGGCGGTTGCTGATATGGCGGCTGCTGATGTGGCGGTTGATGGTGCGGCGGCTGGTGATGCGGTGGCTGCTGATGTGGCTGTCGCTGGTATGCGGGTAGCTGACGTGGCGACTGCAGATGTGGTGACGAGGTGCCATTACGTGTCACGCCACTAGGCGCGGCGCTCTGCTGCCCACTGGCCGTCCCGCTAGTAGCCCCACTAACTGTCCCGCTATTAACCGTACCGCTATTGACTGCTCCGCTATTAACTGTTTCGGCACGGTAACCGCTGTTGTCTGCACCTGTGCCGACGCTACCCGACGGCTTGAGCCCGAGAATAACGTCCACGGGAGCGACGGTGTATTCGTGCGCTGCTTCGGGCTCTTTACGTCCCGGCGACGAGGCCCTGGGTCTCCTTGGCGTACCGCTCGCGAGAGGGGACCCTTTTGGGCCTGGCGTCAAAATACAAAGAGGGGGGGCAGGGGGGAGGGAGTTGGGGGGGGGTGGGAGTGAAGAGGAGGGGGGGGGGGAGGGGACGGGGGGGGTGGGTGGGTGGTTGGGGGAGGGCGAAGAGGGTAGGCTTGGTACTCAATTTAGACAGCTAAGCGGCTTCGGCCTCTTTGCGTCCCGGCGACGAAGCCCTGGGTCTCCTTGGCGCACCGCCCGCGAGAGGGAAACCTTTTGGCCCTGGCGTAGAGATACAAAGGAGTGGGGTGCGGTGTGGGGTGTGGGGTGTGCGATGTGGGGGCTGGGGGGTGGGGAAAACGAGCAAGAGCCGGCTTATAACGAAGATGGAGGTTGACGGGTTGGGCTTGGTAGTTTAGTCAGCCAGTTACGTTTATTTGAACGCGTAAGTTGCCGTTCTTCGCGCATAAGCAGTTCGTGATTCCTAGTTCTACCCGACGCGTTTTACGTACCATTTCGTAACTTAAAGAAGGGAGAAAGCGGCTGGCGTGTTATCTCCAACGTACCTAGAGAGCGCGGCTTTTTTTCTTCGTTACTAAATCGCGTTACTCAACTCGTTTCACGCTTAAGTCGGCACCTTTCATCTCCAAACGTACCTGGAGAGCGCGGCTTTTTACTTTGCCGCGGAGATAGAGGCTCTTCGTGTATGGAGAAGCACCCCCCCATCGCGAGTCTGTCGCTGCATAAGACTGTCTAATAAAACACAATCCACAGAGTGTCTACGGCCATGGGGTCAAGAGACTCATAACTAGATTTGCGGCGCCTCAAAAATAGACTCCTCACGCATCACGACTCTGCCGTTATTAAGATTGTCTGATAATATACAATCCACGGAGTGTCTACGGCTATGAGGTCGAGACTCATAACTTAGGTTGCTCGCTCCATGTGACTACTCGCGGCGCGGAAGGTGACTGGCTGACAGATGAGGGACGCGAAGCAGCAGCGCAGCATATACTAGAGACTGAAAGCGAATAAAGAGCTACGCGGTCCCCTAACACCGTCAGGCCGGCATTAGATACAGAATCAAGAACACTACTGAGTAATCAGTCCAGTCCAATGTCGTTATCTGTGGTTTAGGACGCGCTATATGGCGTCCGGTTCTCCGATCATTTTCCGATCTTGAAACTGTAGAAAGCTGGTAACCCGACAGCTACATTAGCCTCGAAATAGTCATGTAGCAGATCGGAGGGCAGGATCACTTTCGAAGCAAACCCGGGAATCAGTCGCACGTCCAAAACACTAACGATCCTCCTCGACAAAGTCCAGATCGCCTCACCCCAAATGCCACGAAATCAAAAGCACTTCGCCAACTCGCCATTGCGAAAAATGTTGGGTGACCTCGAGTCCCCGTGTATTGTGTGTGGAAATTGCGAATGTCCTGGGAGGGTTGCTGGGTTTTCACGAAGTGTTCTGCGAAATGTCATGCTGTCTAGCTGTTATAACAAGTAACACCTTGTTTAAGGTTTCGCCAGGACACGAAAGAAACTGACGCGTAACGTGGGACACCCTTCACATGCGTCGGGCCATGTACCAGATTTCGGATTGGTAACGTAAAAAACCGTGAGGTGCAAGATTCGGGGACGGGGTTCCAAGTGTGTCGCGCCTGGATTTCGTCTCGCTGACTGTGGCGAAAACCAGGCGACGTCGCGAATGCATCTGCGCGCGCGACGCCAGACCGCATCCGCGACCGAACCCGCCACAAGTTGAGTGTCTCTCACGTGTGGCTATGGTGATTTTCCCCGCCTGTTGTATTTTAGCACAGTCTGGCTATGCTGTGGCGAAAACAGGCTAAAATACAACGCGCCTGGCTATGCTGGGAAACAGATGTTTCGCACAGGTATAAATTTGGTAACTGCGTTTTGGGCCGTTGCGCGCCGTTCGGTTTTCTCACACCTCGACAATCGGCGTCTCGACAACGGGGACACAATTTCTGATGTTTACGAATTCGGAGTCGTTTCATGGATCTGTACCCGGGTTCGTAAAACCGTGTCCCAAACCCCGAAATGAACTATTTGGGCGCGCCCTTAGAATAGGTTGCAAACTGAACCTTGGAGTTTCATTTCAAGCCAACCTGCCTTGAGATAGGCTTGGGGGGTTGGCCTGGCAATTTCAAGGGCGGGCTGCAGCAAATTCGGTGTAACCTTGAACATGCCAAGAGAAGTTGGCCGACCGTGACTATAGCGACGCTCTTGGCACCGAGCTAGCTGGGATTGGTCGGCTCAGCAGGGTCCAAGGGGCGCTTTCTGGGGGGCGAAGGGATCTGTGACTATAGCGATGCTATCAACCCCCGCCTGGGAAGCGGGTATTGTTGAGTCAAAATAATCCTCGAAGACGACGACGGATTGTTGGCGTATAAGCCTAGATTCGAGCACTACATCGAAGTCAACCTTAGCTAACAATCAACACATCAAAGCAAGGTTGTGCAAGGTGCCATTAGGATTGCTCAGGTCATTCAGCCATGCTGCTACCAGGCAAATATCGGGTTGATTCCTGTGCAGTGGATACACTGCACTGCAATCTTCATAAGTTGTCAGCATCGTTTTTCTTCAAGCCTTTCGTCCACAACTACGCCCTAATTCTCATTCTTCGCATTGGGTGTGGCCTAGTACATGTGTAGAATCAAGGGTGGAATCATCAGAATGAACATTTGTGGGCATATTTTTAGATGTTGCTCCATCACAACAGCTACTGTGCTCTAGGATGAGAGTAGGTTGGGATGGTACAAGGAGCACACCGGCACAAAGGGCATACAACGAACCGGCATCGGTAACAGGGCGAGTGCAGCCGGGAGGCAAGGGGGCCGTTGGGCATGTGCTCGAGAATGAGGATATGCTCGCTGCCTGAACTAGTGGTACGGCAGAAACTGGTGCAACTCGGATCAGGCCCAGCAGCATTTCCTTATAATGAAGTGTCAAACATATCCTTGTATGTTGTTATAGACTACACAGGGTTGTGCCTTAGAGAGTACAACACACTAGGTTATATTCCCTTGTATGCCATGGTTCTAGTTATTCGTTAACTTTGATATGGTATCATGAGTAGGTTAGGTCCCCACCCGCCCACCAGCGATTCCGCCATATGTCCTAGCCGCCCCCTCACCCTCCCGCCCGTGCTGTCCCGTCCCCTAGTGGCCCCCGTCACCTAGCGCCTAGCTGGCCCCGTTGCCTAGTCGGCCCCGTCGCCCAGCTGGCCCCGTCGCCTAGCCGGACCCGTCGTCTAGCCGACCCTGTCGCCTAGCCGGCCCAGTCGCCCAGCCGGCCCCGTAGCCTAGCCGGCCCCGTCGCCCAGCCAGCCCCGTCGCCTAGACGGCCTAGTCGCCTAGCCGGCCCCGTCGCCTAGCCGGCCCCGTCACCCAGCCAGCCCCGTCACCTAGCCGGCCCCGTCCCCTAGTCGGCCCCGTCGCCCAGCCAGCCCCGTCGCCTAGCCGGCCCCGTCGCCCAACCGGCCCAGTCGCCCAGCCGGCCCCGTCCCCTAGTCGGCCCCGTCGCCCAGCCGGCCCTGGTGCCTAGCCGGCCCCGTCGCCCAGCTGGCCCCGTCGCCTAGCTGGCCCGTTGCCCAGCCAGCCCCGTCACCTAGCCGGCCCTGTCCCCTAGTCCGCCCCGTCGCTCAGCCGGCCCTGTCGCCTAGCCGGCCCCGTCGCCCAGCCGGCCCCGTCCCCTAGCCGGCCTCGTGGCCTAGCTGGCCTTGTTGCCTCGCCGCCCGCGGCCCCGTCTCCTAGCTGCTACGTGGCCCTGTCTTCCAGCCGCCACGCGGCCCTGTCTCCTAGCCGCCACGCGACCCCGTCTCCTAGCCGCCACGCGACCCCGTCTCCTAGCTGCACCACCCTGCACCGCACTGCACCACACTACACCGCACTGCACCGCGCTGCACCGCACTGCACCGCCCCACACCGTGTTGCACCGTACTGCACCGCCCTGCACCGCACTCTACCACAATCTACCGCACTGCACCGCACACCACTGCTTCCCGCTGCACTATGTCGCTCAGTACAGCCCACTACCGCCTTTCTGCTGTTGCAGCGACCATGATCGTAGACTCGGCGCTGCGCTTTAACGCGGAGGGTCAGCCGGTTGAGTTCGACACTTGGCTCGTTGACCTCCGCCGTCACCTCACTGATCAGCGGCAAGACGGCCACTCCCTGACCGTCCACATCGATGGTACGCTCCTCTGCCCTGACCACCCTGCTGCTCTACCCGCTGACCCCACGTCTGCTGACCGTGACTCCACTGCCGCTGCTGCCCTTGCCCGTGCTGTCTGGTTGTGGCATGACACTGTCGCTCAGCTAGCGATTAGTTATGCCCCCCCCTGTCTGAGCGCCCCCGCTTTAGGTCGGTGAGGACTGCGCAGGAGTTCCTAGAGGCCGTTGTTGCGCGCTATTCCATCCCGCCCTCTACCATCTTCGGTCACCTGATCCAGCCCCTGCTGCGGAGACAGTCACCACGCCTGCCGCAATGCAGTTTCGTCCGGGTAAGGGTCGCCGGCCCAAGGCTGGGCACGGCGGAGGTAGCCCAAGAGAGGGTGGGGACAGTGGTGGAGGTGGTTCGCCCGCCGGTAGTACTGATGAGGGGGCTAGGGCTGGTGCCTCAGAGCAGCAGCCCCAGCAGCAGCAACAGAAGCAGCAGGCACTGCAGCTGGACCAGCATCAGCAGCAGCCGCCGCAGCAGTAGCAGCAGCAGCACCAGCGGCGGGTCGGCCGTCTCCCGCCCGGGTGGCCTGGCCTGGCCGAATGGAGGTGGTCGCACTGGTCATGTGTGCGGCGTGACGTCGCGTGGTGGTCCGGGTCACGAGCGCTGCCAGTACCAGCTCCAGACCGGTCCTCGCCGCGGCCTCGTGTGCGGTAAGATCGGTCATTCTCCTACTCGTTTCTTCAGTCGCCTAGACGACCTGTTTCGTCTCCGCTTTAGCCCGGCGCCAGACTTCCCCGACTGGCACAGTCTTCTCTGCCGTAGTGTTAGGATCTTTGATATGGACATGGATGAGATTAGCTCTACTTTGTATGTGTTGTATGTTGATGACTCTAGAGTGACTAGTTCCTATTACCCTGTGTTGCCTAGTATAGTTGTGCCCAGTGTGCCTAGTTTAGGCTCCCTAGCTGCATCAGGCGTAGGATCCCCTGCCTTGTTTAGCCTTGGGTCCTCCCTCGCTCCTCCGACCCCTGTCGCCAGTGCCGCGCTCTCCTTCACCCTGGACTCCGGCGCTTCCCGGTTTTTCTTTCGGGACTCCACTACGCTTACGCCGCTCGCCGCTCCCACCGAAGTTGCCCTTGCACACCCTTCCTCCGGTCTTGTAGTTGCCCGTAGCTCCACCACTCTTCCCTGTCCGGCGGGTCCCTCGGGCTCCCTTACCGGCCTGCACATCCCCTCGTTCTCTAGGAACCTAGTTGGTGTCGGCTGCCTCCAGGACCTTGGCGTCACCACTACGTTCCCTGGTCACGAGTGGTACGCTGTCTATACCGAGGCCGCCACTGGTGCTCCCCTCACTACGTTCTCCCGGTACCCGGTGTCTGGCCTGTTCACGCTGGACACCGTGTCCCCCCCGGTTGGGATGCCTCCCTAGGTGGCAGCGTCTACCCAAGTTGCTGTGGCTTGCTCGTGTCGGTCGCTTACTCACCCGTTGCTTCTATGGCACCACCGTCTATGTCACCCCGCTCTCACCCGTCTCCGTCACATGTCACAGCACTGTCTTGTCTTAGGTCTCCGTGCATCGTTCCCTGTGCTCCACTCATCACCAGCGCCGCCGTGCACACCCTGCGCAGAGGGCCGGCTCCGCCATGCCCCTCACTCCTCCTCGTTCCCCCCCACCACCACACCACTGCAGACCCTGCACATGGACGTCTGGGGCCCCGCCCCCGTCCATGGGTCACGTCACGAGCGCTACTTCCTAGTGCTTGTCGACAAATACACGCGCTACACCACAGTGTTTCCCCTAGAGCGGAAGGCTGACGTTCCTGACTATCTTATCCCGTGGCTTGTCTCTGCGCGTGGGCACCGAGGTCTCCCTGTGTTGCGTCTTTACTC